TGTATAGAGACAGAATGACAGGCCAACTGACCATGTGTATACAGACAAAATAACAGTCCAACTGGCCATGTCTATACAGACAGAATGACAGTCCAACTAGCCATGTCTATACAAACAGAGTGACAGTCCAACTGGCCATGTGTATACAGACAGAATGACAGTCCAACTGGCCATGTGTATGCAGACAGAATGACAGTCCAACGGGCCATGTGTATAGAGACAGAATGACAGTCCAACTGGCCATGTGTACATAGACAGAATGACAGTCCAACTGGCCATGTGTAACAGACAAAATAAGAGTCCAACAGGCCATGTCTATACAGACAGAATGACAGTCCAACTAGCCATGTCTATACAGACAGAATGACAGTCCAACTAGCCATGTCTATACAGACAGAATAACAGTCCAACTGGCCATGTCTATACAGACAGAACGACAGTCCAACTAGCCATGTCTATACAGACAGAATGACAGTCCAACTAGCCATGTGTACACAGACAGAATGACAGTCCAACTGGCCATGTGTATAGAGACAGAATGACAGGCCAACTGACCATGTGTATACAGACAAAATAACAGTCCAACTGGCCATGTGTAAACAGACAGAGTGACAGTCCAACTGACCATGTCTATACAGACAGAGTGACAGTCCAACTAGCCATGTCTATACAGACAGAATGACAGTCCAACTAGCCATGTGAACACAGACAGAATGACAGTCCAACTGGCCATGTGTATAGAGACAGAATGACAGTCCAACTGGCCATGTCTATACAGACAGAGTGACAATCCATCGTGCAATGTGAACACAGACAGAATGACAGTCCAACTGGCCATGTGTATACAGACAGTATGACAGTCCAACTGGCCATGTGTACACAGACAGAATGACAGTCCAACTGGCCATGTGTATACAGACAAAATAACAGACCAACTGGCCATGTCTATACAGACAGAATGACAGTCCAACTGGCCATGTGTATACAGACAGAATGACAGTCCAACTGGCCATGTGTATACAGACAGAATTACAGTCCAATTGGCCATGTATACACAGACAGAATGACAGTCCAACTGGCCATGTGTACACAGACAGAATGACAGTCCAACTGGCCATGTGTACACAGACAGAATGACAGTCCAACCGGCCATGTATATAGACAGTATGACAGTCCAACCGGCCATGTATATAGACAGAATGACAGTCCATCTTGCCATGTGTATAGAGACAGAATGACAGTCCAACTGGCCATGTCTATACAGACAGAGTGACAGTCCAACTGACCATGTCTATACAGACAGAGTGACAGTCCAACTAGCTATGTCTATACAGACAGACTGACAGTCCAACTGGCCATGTGTACAGAGACAGAATGACAGTCCAACTGGCCATGTGTATAGAGACAGAATGACAGGCCAACGGACCATGTGTATACAGACAAAATAACAGTCCAACTGGCCATGTCTATACAGACAGAATGACAGTCCAACTAGCCATGTCTATACAGACAGAGTGACAGTCCAACTGGCCATGTGTATAGAGACAGAATGACAGTCCAACTGGCCATGTCTATACAGACAGAGTGACAGTCCAACTAGCCATGTCCATACAGACAGAGTGACAGTCCAACTAGCCATGTGTACAGAGACAGAATGACAGTCCAACTGGCCATGTGTATACAGACAGTATGACAGTCCAACTGGCCATGTGTACACAAACAGAATGACAGTCCAACTGGCCATGTGTATACAGACAAAATAACAGACCAACTGGCCATGTCTATACAGACAGAATGACAGTCCAACTGGCCATGTCGATGACAGTCCAACTGGCCATGTGTATACAGACAGAATGACAGTCCAATTGGCCATGTATACACAGACAGAATGACAGTCCAACTGGCCATGTGTATACAGACAGAATGACAGTCCAACTGGCCATGTGTATGCAGACAGAATGACAGTCCAACGGGCCATGTGTACATAGACAGAATGACAGTCCAACTGGCCATGTGTATAGAAACAGAATGACAGTCCAACTGGCCATGTGTACACAGACAGAATGACAGTCCTTCTGGCCATGTGTACACAGACAGAATAACAGTCCAACTGGCCATGTGTACACAGACAGAATGACAGTCCAACTGGCCATGTATATAGACAGAATGACAGTCCAACCGGCCATGTATATAGACAGAATGACAGTCCATCTTGCCATGTGTATACAGACAGAATGACAGTCCAACTGGCCATGTGTATAGAGACAGAATGACAGTCCAACTGGCCATGTCTATACAGACAGAGTGACAGTCCAACTGACCATGTCTATACAGACAGAGTGACAGTCCAACTAGCCATGTCTATACAGACAGACTGACAGTCCAACTAGCCATGTGTATAGAGACAGAATGACAGGCCAACTGACCATGTGTATACAGACAAAATAACAGTCCAACTGGCCATGTCTATACAGACAGAATGACAGTCCAACTAGCCATGTCTATTCAGACAGAGTGACAGTCCAACTGGCCATGTGTATAGAGACAGAATGACAGTCCAACTGGCCATGTCTATACAGACAGAGTGACAGTCCAACTAGCCATGTCTATACAGACAGACTGACAGTCCAACTAGCCATGTGTACAGAGACAGAATGACAGTCCAACTGGCCATGTGTATACAGACAGTATGACAGTCCAACTGGCCATGTGTACACAGACAGAATGACAGTCCAACTGGCCATGTGTATACAGACAAAATTACAGACCAACTGGCCATGTCTATACAGACAGAATGACAGCCCAACTGGCCATGTCTATACAGACAGAATGACAGTCCAACTGGCCATGTGTATACAGACAGAATGACAGTCCAACTGGCCATGTGTAAACAGACAGAATGACAGTCCAATTGGCCATGTATACACAGACAGAATGACAGTCCAACTGGCCATGTGTATACAGACAGAATGACAGTCCAACTGGCCATGTGTATGCAGACAGAATGACAGTCCAACTGGCCATGTGTATAGAGACAGAATGACAGTCCAACTGGCCATGTGTACACAGACAGAATGACAGTCCTTCTGGCCATGTGTACACAGACAGAATGACAGTCCAACTGGCCATGTGTATACAGACAAAATAACAGTCCAATTGGCCATGTCTATACAGACAGAATGACAGTCCAACTAGCCATGTCTATACAGACAGAATGACAGTCCAACTAGCCATGTCTATACAGACAGAATGACGGTTAACTGGCCATGTGTATAGAGACAGAATGACAGGCCAACTGACCATGTGTATACAGACAAAATAACAGTCCAACTGGCCATGTCTATACAGACAGTAAGACAGTCCAACTAGGCATGTCTATACAGACAGAATGACAGTCCAACTGGCCATGTGTATAGAGACAGAATGACAGTCCAACTGGCCATGTCTATACAGACAGAGTGACAATCCATCGTGCAATGTGAACACAGACAGAATGACAGTCCAACTGGCCATGTGTATACAGACAGTATGACAGTCCAACTGACCATGTGTATACAGACAGTATGACAGTCCAACTGGCCATGTGTATAGAGACAGAATGACAGTCCAACTGGCCATGTGTATACAGACAGTATGACAGTCCAACTGGCCATGTGTGTACAGACAGTATGACAGTCCAACTGGCCATGTGTACACAGACAGAATGACAGTCCATCTTACCATGTGTATAGAGACAGAATGACAGTCCAACTGGCCATCTGTACACATACAGGCTGACAGTCCAACTGGCCATGTGTATACAGACAGAATGACAGTCCATCATGCTATGTATACACAGACAGAATGACAGTCCATCTTGCCATGTGTATAGTGACAGAATGACAGTCCAACTGGCCATGTATACACAGACAGAATGACAGTCCATCTTGCCTTGGTTATAGAGACCGAATGACAGTCCAACTGGCCATGTGTACACAGTCAGAATGACAGTCCAACTGGCCATGTCTATACAGACAGTATGACAGTCCAACTAGGCATGTCTGTACAGACAGAATGACAGTCCAACTGGCCATGTGTATAGAGACAGAATGACAGTCCAACTGGCCATGTGTACACAGTCAGAATGACAGTCCACCGTGCCATGTATACACAGACAGAATGACAGTCCATGTTGCCATGTGTATAGAGACAGAATGACAGTCCAACTGGCCATGTGTATACAGACAGAATGACAGTCCAACTGACCATGTGTATACAGACAAAATGACAGTCCAACTGGCCATGTGTATAGAGACAGAATGACAGTCCAACTGGCCATGTGTATAGAGACAGAATGACAGTCCAACTGGCCATGTGTAAACAGACAGATTGACAGTCCAACTGGCCATGTGTATAGAGACAGAATGACAGTCCAACTGGCCATGTGTATAGAGACAGAATGACAGTCCAACTGGCCATGTGTATAGAGACAGAATGACAGTCCAACTGGCCATGTGTATAGAGACAGAATGACAGTCCAACTGGCCATGTGTATAGAGACAGAATGACAGTCCAACTAGCCATGTTTACATGAGAAAGGATCAATCCAGCTTGTCATGTGTACATAAGACAATCAGTCCGATACAAATTCCGCAAAGAAATCATCTAATTTCTTTGGTAAAATTAAGATTAAGATAAAATTATGCAAATACATATGCATTGTGTAACTGATATTTATTTATGGTTAGATGTAAACATGGTTTATGTTGTCTAATACTACAAAGAATGTTTAAAAGTTTGTTTGAATCACATATTAAATGTTTAGGCATCATTCAAGTACAAAATTCAAAACAAAAGCTAAAAAATAGTGAAAATTAGTGTATACTGCAATTTTCTGCAGTTCTGCAGTGAGTTAGATTTTCTGCAAATCTCTCTGTGATCGTGGAATCACAGAATTCATCTGGGTCTGGACTGTTACAATCCAGCCTATCATGTGTACATGCTTGTGTTTGCTACAACAGAGAAGACCTGTGGAAGGCCAACAACTATACGTCATGTAATGTAGCATCTGACAGTGAGGAAGAAGACTCCCAGGAGGAACATGGGGAGGAAGAGGAGGAGGAGAACGGCAGACAACGTGCTATACAATATGTGAGTGGGGATGTCACCCACCCTAGTGATGCTGGCACCCTCAACAACATCATTGTCCACTGTGCAGGTGAGTCCTACAGTTCGGGCAGAGATTACATGGTAATAAGCAGACTCAGTCATTACTGACAACATCAAGGTCATAGTTTGGTTTTCAAATTCTACTTGTAAACATGAATAAAATAGGATTAGACTCAACTAAGTAGTTTTTCATCTTGATTTGCAGAACTACCAACCCTAAAAATTGACAATTCAGAAAAAACACCAAAATCCTGTCTACAGTCCTACAATGCATGTTCATGTCTGTGTTTTCATCTGATCAGTGATACTAAAATTGATAAATTCTTATTCTAGTTACACAGTATTTTAGATAATTAGAATTGTGTGCACAAAGCAAAAATTAATTATAGTTTTATTGTAACTGAAATAAACTTTTCTACTTTTTAAATTTATAATTTCCTTAAAAAAAACGTGTTTATTATTTGGTTTTTCCTTTAGTAATCAAAGGTGAGGTTAATTGTCCATGAGAGGTCTAACTCTCCCAAGACTGTAAGGCCTGTGGGTTTCCCTGTAGTGACCTGTGTTGTACCCCACCTCGTGTGTTGCAGATGACGCTGGTCAGTGGGGACGGGGAGGCCTGTTCTCAGCCCTGTCAGCCAGGTCACCCAACCCAGAGGCCCAGTACCAGCTGGCTGGCAGGATGAAAGGTGGGAGATACTCCTGGGGGAGGGTCAGTGTGACAGTAATGTAAAAAACACTGAGTCCTCATGTTAGCTTGTTTCAATTTGTTCAAATGGATTTAAGAAACATGTACTCTTTATAGAGAGCAATTTTATGGGATGTAAGAGAGATTGTACTGTAGATATATGTCACTCACCCTATTACTGTGTGGTGTGATGTGTAGGATAGTACTGTGAAGTCAGTGCTTGTTTCCCATGTCACAAGGTTGTCTAGCAGTGGTGTTGGTATGTTGTAGATCTGGCCCTGGGAGACTGTCACCTGGTATGTCTGGACAACGATACAGAGGACTGCCATGAGTGGGTGTGTATCACATACATTGGAACTGGCATAACTCATATATGTAAATACATTGCATTCTCCAGTAACTTATCTTGCATCTAAGTATTTATTATTGCTCTCAGCTCATGTTACATGGGTCATGGCCAAAGCATCAAACATGTTTTATCTAGTAGGAGCAGACTATTGAATGGCGAAATTGTAATGTTGTTATGCCGTAAGGACGCAGCACATCAGCAGAGTTTCAACCTGAGAAAGGTGCATACAAAGTCATCGGAACTTTGTTCCCAATCTCACAAGTGCAAAGATGTATCTTTCATTTTACCCACTGTATGTGGCGACCTGTCCAGAAGCTAGGTTTCATGCATGAATACAAGGACAATGAAGAGTTTTATCAACTTCAACAGCTGCACTGCCTTTGGTTCCATCTCAAGTGGTGGAGGATGTCTTGGTGAGGTGGATTGCAGATAGTCCTCCTGGGGATTCAGTTGTCAGGTTTATGGACTGCGTCCCACCACTACAACGAAGAACATCAAACCAATAATAACCTCGAGGGCTGGCATCACAGACTGAACAACATTTACATAGCACGGAACTGTCAAAAGTACCTGGTGCAATGATCCCGAACTGTCAAAAATATTTGAGTGCATAAACCTATGACCATCACCGAACTGTCGAATATCAAGACTACCTCTATTTTAGATTTTCGACACTTCGTGCTGACATTGTTACATGTCGTGTACACTTGCTGTGATATATGCCACATTCTGTATACATGGATGCTACACTACAACCAAGGACTGTATCCCATGTCTGTGATTCCAGGGAGAAGACATTGCTATTAGGTATGCATGTGTATCTCCTGGCTGTGTGGAAATGCCAGAAGCTCACTCTCTGGACTGTTGTGTTGATACACACAGTTAGCTCCTATGGGAATCTTACACATCTTTTCAAAATGTTACCGTGAAGATCCAGATTAGAATAGGACTTCAGCAGCCTATGCTTGCTGTAAAAGGTGACTTTGCTTGTTGTAAGAGGCGACTAACGGGATCGGGTAGTCAGGCTTGCTAACTTGGTTGATGCATGTCATCGATCCCAATTGCGTGGATCTATGCTCATGATATCAATTACTGGATTGTCTGGTCCAGACTCGATTATTAACAGACCCCCATCATATAGCTGGAATATTGCTAAGTGCGGCGTTAAACAACAAACAAACAAACTAAAACACATCCAGTACAGTTACTGCATTATTGACGTGGAATAAGTTTCCGATCCATCTTTTATGGAATGGAGGGGTAAACATGTTCCTCCTGGTTGAAGCTTACTGTGACAGTAACCTCATTCACACTGGCTTGTGGTACTAGGAACCTTTGATAATCTGTTGTTACAACATTATTTAGGTAAGAAATTTAGTGTTGTATACCTGTTTTTTTCCCATTATGAACAACAATTATGTCAAATATATATTGATCAGTATACGATCGTCATCTTTCTCTTATATCAACAAAGACATAAAATGCGCCATGACGTCAAACAAAATGGGGTCAAAATTTTAGTAAATAGATTTGATGATAAGTCTAGTATTACATTTATAATGGTGCAACATTCGTCAAATTACACTCACTCAATGAAGTGAATGTGGGAATCTATGGACTAATTTACGTGTTAGTTGGGGCCATCCATCTCACTATTACTTCATGTTTTATCCCCGCAGCATATGATGCCGGAGGAACTAGTCATCATCTGGTCTGTCAATCCATCTGTCCGTCAGTCCGTATTTTGTTTCTGGAGCCTAACTTGCTGAGAAACAAAAGATATTTCATCCAAACTTCACCAGGGCCTGAAGTGGTGCCTTTTCCTATTTGGGGACTTGTCAAAATTCCATTGTTTCTGTTTTCATGGAAACAAGTTAGACTTAGCTGAAACGAATGTACCCCTGTGGTAGGTGTTGTTTCTGGAACAGAACTAAAACAATATTCAAGATTTTTCACTCAAACATGATAAATGTATTAATCAGGGGCTCTAGTGGAGCCTTTTGCTATTTTTAGAATTTATATTTTGTCTGTTTCCATGGCAACATCAGACATGAGAATTTTCCAGGATTTTTCCTCCCAGAATGATGTCAATTGCACTTATTTTAATCCTTGTTTTTCCAATTTCCTTGGGGGGGGTCGGAGGAAAAACCCAAGATTAGGGATGTTCCTAAAAAAAACAGTTTTGCTGTTCTCATGTCTGCTACAGGTTTGACTTTGACTCATAGAATTGTGTTTGTCCGGACAATATCTGTAAAACTAATAGGTATTCTTTCATTGAAAACTTTGCACACACAAAGACCAGGTTGTCAACTGGTGCCTTATATTTTTTCTGTTTCCACAGTAACAAGTTTGACATAGACTCTGTATATATATGTGTATAAGTGTACCGGAGTACCAGACATAGAAATACAATGTTCTGAATCTCAATTCCATGGTATAGCTTTGATAGCTCAATAACTACTCTTGTATACGGACAGACAGATTAGATAGAAATTCTCTCATCAAGTTGTATTTACTGTAACAGTCAGATGATTTGTTCTTTAGAATTTGTGGGGCCTGGGGGATTTGTTGTCTACTGATGACTCTTGTTATTCTCTTGTTTTTCTTAAGATTTGTGATGATATCAAAATGTATATGGCTTCAAGATTGATATTTCTGTTGGAATAGTTTGGAACAAAACAATATATATGTGAAATTATATGTCGTAGTCCACAGCAATTCCTCCCCAAGTGAGCGGAGTTGTAATGGCATAGTTTGAAGCATAGCGAAGTTATGCCACTTTTCTTTGAGCGATTGTATATCTCACAGTCATCTTTTTCATAGAGGAAAATCAATTTTCTTTATTTCATAAGCATACCTATGCATTTGATATATGTTTATGTTGTTCACAAATCAGGCAATGTTTTGTTTGCTTATGTTTCCATAAAGCTGTTAAATATAAAAAATGTCACACAGTAATTTTATCGATATATGATAAAAAGTGACAAATTTTCTGTTGCTTTATGCATGTCAAGATCTCGGCCAATACTTAGTAGTGTCTGTTTTTCAAACCAGTGTAATATTTGCAGTTAATGTTACACCTTCAGATAGGAAATTTAATATTCTAAATCTCTGCTTCATTTTATAGTCATACAAGCGCAATTCTCGCACAACCTTTTAATTTTCCAAAATTAAAAATGTGCGTCAGAAAAATAACTTGACATCCAGGGGATTAAACTGACAGTTGTGAAATCTGTTTGTTTCAGCTTGCTCTGCTGATAGCCCAGCACAGAGACAAGAGGAACAATCTCTCCGGCATCAAATTGTCAGCACTTCGAGTTGGATTGGAGAAGATCCACTCAGTAGCCAAGAAACATAAAGGTATGACAGGTACTTCATCCTGGACTTGACAGCTAATGTCAGTGTTGCATCACTTGTCAAGCAGATACATACAGCACCCTGCATCTTTACAGATAGCTGCCTGAATGAAAGCAGGGGCAGAGCCATCAGGCCATTACCTGAGTACAGTAAGCTGCGTTAATAACAAACACACTTACAGCCAACTGACAGATATAACAAACTTATTTGTTGGTAATGGCCTTTTGCTGTTTACAAGTTGTATATATGCTTAAAACAAACTTCCCTTGGAGATTGTTATAACCGTAGTTGACTGCATGTAGATATGTATATGCCGGCTAACTTGGTGTATTATTCAGCTTTCCACTAAATATGACCCCTTCAGTTTTGTCATAGAGCATTACACTAAATAGATACATGTGAGAAGGATTCCTAGGTGTTATCCACTGTTGTGTTTATGTTGTACAGCCAGTGTCCACTGTTGTGTTTATGTTGTACAGCCAGTGTCCACTGTTCTGTTTATGTTGTACAGCCAGTGTCCACTGTTGTGTTTATGTTGTACAGATAGTAGCAACTGTTGTGTTTATGTTGTACAGCCAGTGTCCACTGTTGTGTTTATGTTGTACAGCCAGTGTCCACTGTTGTGTTTATGTTGTACAGCCAGTGTCCACTGTTGTGTTTATGTTGTACAGATAGTAGCAACTGTTGTGTTTATGTTGTACAGATAGTGTCCACTGTTGTTTTTATGTTGTACAGCTAGTGTCCACTGTTGTGTTTATGTTGTACAGCCAGTGTCAACTGTTGTGTTTATGTTGTACAGCCAGTGTCCACTGTTGTGTTTATGTAGTACAGCCAGTGTCCACTGTTGTGTTTATGTTGTACAGCCAGTGTCCACTGTTGTGTTTATGTTGTACAGCCAGTGTCCACTATTGTGTTTATGTTGTAAAGCCAGTGTCCACTGTTGTGTTTATGTTGTACAGCCAGTGTCCACTGTTGTGTTTATGTTGTACAGCCAGTGTCCACTGTTGTGTTTATGTTGTACAGCCAGTGTCCACTGTTGTGTTTTTGTTGTACAGCCAGTGTCCACTGTTGTGTTTATGTTGTACAGCCAGTGTCCACTGTTGTGTTTATGTTGTACAGCCAGTGTCCACTGTTGTGTTTATGTTGTACAGCCAGTGTCAACTGTTGTGTTTATGTTGTACAGCCAGTGTCCACTGTTGTGTTTATGTTGTACAGCCAGTGTCCACTGTTGTGTTTATGTTGTACAGCCAGTGTCAACTGTTGTGTTTATGTTGTACAGCCAGTGTCCACTGTTGTGTTTATGTTGTACAGCTAGTGTCCACTGTTGTGTTTATGTTGTACAGCCAGTGTCCACTGTTGTGTTTATGTTGTACAGCCAGTGTCCACTGTTGTGTTTATGTTGTACAGCCAGTGTCCACTGTTGTGTTTATGTTGTACAGCCAGTGTCCACTGTTGTGTTTATGTTGTACAGCCAGTGTCAACTGTTGTGTTTATGTTGTACAGCCAGTGTCAACTGTTGTGTTTATGTTGTACAGCCAGTGTCCACTGTTGTGTTTATGTTGTACAGCCAGTGTCCACCTACCCCGTATTGGCCACAACACTCCTGGCTTCAACTGGTACGGCACCGAGAGACTCATTCAGAAACACCTGGCCTCTACTGGAATACCCACCTTTATGTATCCTTGACCTGCAGAGACATAAGCCCAGTTACAGGTGGTCGATCTGGCTGCCAATATAAGTCAGTTTAGAGCTGACTTGATGAGGAGGTCTGTTAACTGACATCCCTTTTCTGCAGTTTGGACCTGCAGTTACTAATAAGAAGTGATGATCTATTGATAATAGTTCATCAGGCAGCCACATGGGGATGTTTTTAGGTTTTAGGGTTTGACCACTGTCGCCAACATACTCTTTTTGAAACCATGCAGAATTTGGACTTTCCAGGGATCAGGAGGAAGGTGGGGATGGAGCTGCTTCTATTGTGGCATGTAATGTATACCCTTTCCAGTTAAACAAACAGGGTTTAATTTTAAGTTCAAGATTTTTTAACTTATTTCAGCATATTAGTTATGCTAAGTCTGTGGTGGTTTTCATAATATTGATGATCCCAGCCAAATTTGATAAGTTGATACCTATGTCATTTGTTAAACAGTTCAAGCTTGATCATAACCCAAATCGGGCAAATGTCAACAAGTTGATGGAGATAATGAAATCTTTGGTAGCTAGCAAAATTGGAAATTTTTGAAGAGGTCAAAATGGTGGTTTGTATGACTGTCATGTTGGAAAGCTGTCCAAGTTGGTCAATTGCAAGGCGGTCAAATATCATGTGATCAGCGTTCAACAATTTGTCAGGGGTAAAAATATATCCGCATACATGTCACATTTCAGTCATACTAGGCATCTCATTGGCTGATTCTGAACCCTAATCTTTACGTTAAGGGTCCCAGTGTTCAATGCATTGCACAATTTCAACAACCACTTGGGGGCATGAGTGGCCCAGTTGTCTAAGGCGCCATGATTCACTGTGCGGAGTTGCGTCCCTTGGGCACGCCAGAAACCTATGGTTGTGGGTTCGAACCCCGGTTTGCCCAGATTATGTATCTAGGTTTGTCAGCACCATACCCGTGCTCATGGGTTTCACCAAAGTGATAAACGTCTGAGACCTGCATCATTTCGGGCTTTCCTCCCACATTAAGTTGACACGCCGCGATATAACTGGAATAATGTTAAGAGTGGCGTTACTCCCAACTCACTCACTCACTCAATTCAACAACCAGTCCGTTGTCTGATTGTTTCCGGCTTTTAATTGCATTACTGTCTTTTTCTGTCTGCTCGTGTGTTTGATCACTAAGTCAACTTATGCCCTAATAGTAACAACACTGAAGATGCCTTCAGGGGATTAATCGCTGACAGGCATTCATTGTGTGGAATAGAACCGAGGGGCGCAGGCGGTTTATGATACCTGAACAGGATTCTAACTCTGCAAAATAAGAAGATCAAAGGTTATGTTAAACACATTCATTAAAGGGCAAGTTCACACGGAAATGAACCTATTTTTCTTGTACTTTTTCCACATTAAAAGTGTTAACCTAGAAGTGTCATAGACAAAAATATAAAAATATCACAATTAATTAACATATTTTTCGCATTAAAACGATTTATATTTTTCACATTTACCAAGTGTTCTATTTCCACAACAAAAACACCATGGCTTATGCCCCTTGCAATATGACGTCATTGGTGCCAATTGATAAACATTATGACGTCATCATGCTTTGTTAGAGCCGCTTCACGTGGTGTAGGTACAGGTGTGTGATTCTAGCTGTCCCAAATGCCCTCCAGCATAGTGTTATGCTGAGTCACCACTGCGCCGGAGTGTGTCGTAGGCCATGTTGTTTTACCGCAAACTGGTACTTGATATCTTTTGCGTTGAGAATAGACAGGGACCCAGTTGAATTGGCACCAATTACGTCATAATCTAAGGGGGATAACTCAGGCCTGTTTAGCTCGAAAATTGAAGGCCTCATAACGGCATATCATTTTCACACTATTGTGAGCTTCCTACTTTCACTGTGAAAAAAATGGGTGTATATTTTCAAACACAGATACTAATTAATTCTAAAATTGCGTTTTGTTTAGAAAAAGAAAGAAAGTGATTTTTGCGTGTACACTTCCCCTTTAATGTTTGCAATGTTATTTTTGTAGGATTAACAGAATTAGCAGAATCAGTATATGTATAGCCGCTAAGAATCACAAGATAGAATAACTCTGCAAACGAGTCTACATATCAGCCAATGACAACATGTGTCATGCGCTGCTGTGGCAGTATCTTTAGGCCACGCCCTCAACGAGGCCTGTACAGGAAGCTGATACAGTGCCGGTGATATCAGCACATTCACTTGGACATTTAAATACTTTCTCCGAAAATATTGTGAATTTTTTTCTCTCAGAAATAGACTAAATTAATCTAGGAAAATTAATATTCACAACAAAATTGCATTATTATTTTCAGTTTACTTGTCCTTTAAGTGGTTGTCTTTGTTAATATGTTTGTTGTCTACATATCCAATTGAGCTGCAGTGCCGTGGCACTATTTGTAGGAAGCAACAACAGACCTACCCACAACTGAGTACAACTATTTGGAAAGAGGTAACTAAAGAAACCTTCTATATGTCTATAGGAAGCTTCATTTCATTCTGATTTTTATCAGTTAGACCTTATGTGATTATGTCTTTTCCGTTTGACTGATTATATAACAGCTGCTACAGTTGATATCATTTCCTCAACTATGTGAAGTTATTACTTTCCCCGGAGACAGAAGCTGAAGCGGAAAGTTCCACCCCCAGCCAGTCCACCATCGTCACCCCCAGTCAGTCCTTTGTCGTCACCCTCAACCATCCCGTCCATGTCAGCACCTGGAGAAAGACCTCTCAAATGTAGAACAAATACCTTTTTTATGTTATCAATTCAGCTAAATAATGATTAATTTGAGAGTTGCTAAAGGCTCTGATGCATTGGAAGTTTGTCTGTTGAGTCACATAAATTATGTCCAAATGTTTACTGCAATCAATACACTTTTGGAGATGTATGCAAATGCCTGGGCTATGGGATTGTGGGCCATCTGTGGAAAGTTTGCACATTGAATATACCACATAGATGTACTGTTGATGGAACCCAAGTATTTGGGTGTGCACTTGTGACAGTACTATTTCAGGAGGGGAGATGGAACGGTTGCAGGAACAACTGAACTTATATTTCACAATAAATATCTGTGGCTTGTCCTCTATTACATAGCTATGAAACACTAAATGCAGGTGATACAATGTGTGCATTATCTTCACACAGATTGAGAAAAGGTCACCCACCTATGTAAATTATGTAAAGGACATTGCAGAATGTTGTCTTCAGCTTTAGCTAAAGACTGTATCCTTGTTAGGTTCAATGATATGTTCTGTATGTTGCACCAATGTTGGTATAGCCTGACAATGTGGTGTACATCTGACAGTTCTGAAGCGACTGAGTAGTGGAGGGACATCAGCGCGCAGCTCGTCACCGCTGCCGTCCTACTTCATGGGCTGCTCAATCCACCTCCATCACATCCCAGATGATGACAGCAAGTACTACAGAAGATACATTGTTGCATATCCTTGACCACGCTAGTCTACCTTTTACCACATCTGTCACATACCCCTTCTTTTGCTTATAACATGTTTATTACAGACCAGTTTTACAGGTGTTAGCTCACCTGAACCTGTATATCCTTCATACTCGCCCTTTAATCTGGCATTTCTGCATGTACCATTGTGAAGTCAGGTAAGTAATGTGCAATACCATGCTGTGTACATTTTACCCCAGAACACTGTTACTTGGCATAGGTCCGGGTTAGAATTGCTCTTCAGAAACTCATGCTTGTCGTAAGAGGCGACTATGCTTGTCATAATAGGCGATTAACGAGATTGGGCGGTCAGACTTGCTTACTTGGTGCAGTATTAAACAACAAACAAACTTGTCATTAAAGGCAACTAATGGTGGATTGGGTAGTCAGGCTCAATGACTGGCTTGATTGCATAGCATCATATCCCAACAGCATGGGATCTGGGATGCTGCAAATATTCAAGAATGTTCCTTTGAGCTACAAGGGGTCTCAAATTTAACCTAGAAGAATATACTTAGGTTGATGGCTATAAATGGTGTTAGTTTGTTTTCTCCACATCTGTTCTAGCAGTATGTAGACCTTAACAATGATACATTTGATGGTGACGTCCATGCCGCAGTCAGCCCATCCACAACACATGTGGTCATCTCACAGGGAGCAGACAGAGAGGTTCGTGAAAACAACATCATCAGTATCACAGCTGAAACCTGTGTCTGTCCAATGTGTAGTCATTCTCCATTTTCTGTACATTTTAGCAGCCACCCTCTTATGTAAGTTATCCATAAATTTAAATTAATCTGCTTTGCTATGACTATGCATACGCGTTAGCTGACCTTGTCCATCCTTTCATCTGCTCTTTCTTCTGTTGGTTTGCTCTGCAATTAGATGGTTCATCTCTAATATGTGGACATGTATTGGGTACATCAATATCAGATTCTATTATTTACAGACCGCAGTCATATAGCTGGAATATTGCTCAGTGTGGCGTTAAGTAACAACAAACAAACAAAACTTGTATTATACGAAGTCAACTATAAACATTATGAAATTGCTGCATGTATAAATGTTTAGTATGCCTTAAAACTAGGTGTGTGCCCCTGTGCCATGTTTATCCATCCCTTTCTGAAACACCAGTTTTTCTCCATGTCTTTATTTTAGTTTGTTGGTACTTTCAGATTTTAAAGGGAGCTGTATGTGCGAACCCCGATGTAGTGATTGTGACGAGTCAGTGGATGGCGGACTGTCTCAACATGGGGAGACTGCTCGAGACCGATACATACCAGATACTACTGGAGTAAACACTGTCTTTGGGTTGTCAGGAACCATAATCGATGTCAGGACTATTGAGTACTGTAAATAGGATGTGCAGGTAGTATTGTTGTAGAGGTATTAAGTTAGATATTGAACTCAGGTACGACTCTCTTGCGTCACAAGAATTAAAACATAGTTCTGTAGAGTAGGCTATTGTTCCCAGCTTGTGAAGTTCAATACTACCAGTACCTGTACCATTTAGATGCAAATTACAATCAAACCCCTGAAAGTGCAGTGGAACATCATCGGGACCAATCATTCATATTTCAATGACAAATAGAACGTTGCACTTTCTAAAACTCAAAGATTATGTAAGAAGTTCTATTTATATTATTCTATTAGCAAAATTATTTGACCACTTCTTGACTGTGCTCTGCTGGTGATTCCGGCAGATCCCCAGTATTCCTGCTTGTCGTAAGATCCAATTTGAGATGAGGATTGGCTGACCTGGCTGACTGTACCCAAACAGTTGGCATTGTTGCTCATGCTACTCACCACTGTGTGACAGCCGCAGATTCCATTATGTAAGAGTTGAACCCATTCTCTTTGAGGTAAGTCGGGCAATAGACCCACATGGTCGTCTGACGCCTGATTTAGTGTGATTAGTGTGATCTGTAATTGGTTTGTCTTCACATTCTGCTGTGATATTGCCGAAGGGGGAGTAAAGTCTCAATCATGTTCAGTTTTGCTTACCATGGAATAAAGTTCAGATAATGGTTTCTCCTTCCATAGTTCTGCTGAAAACACCTACAGTATGTGAGGCAGACTCTTGCATAATACAGAGTACTGATGAAGAAATACTTAAAACATGTCTTACTGTGATAGAAACATTGAGTGAGTGTTATGTTATGAAGACATAAATGATCAAATGCCCGTGTGTATTGACAATTGTTTGTTTATTGCGACTTTGATATGTAGTTAGAATCTAGAATTGTTGTGTGTTAGTATTCATATTAAAATCATCTTTCCACTGATCGACAAGTGAAAGAATAGATATGATATTGTCCCTGTTGGCCCACTGGAAATGGCAAGGAAAACTTTGAAATACCAGATTAGGCTCTCTTTATTTCCATCACTTCCTGGTGTCAAAACTCCTGACATGATTAACTGTTGCTAAAATGATTTGAAAACACGGTTTTTTCCAGATTTCAAAAGAAAATCTTAACATGAGCAAGTCGGTGACCCAAAATATAACTTTGCCATATGTTACTGTCTGTATCTACAGCTTCAGTCAAGTCTTGCACATGTTCAAAAACTAGAAAGACCTTCCCGAAAACCTCTAAAATGAAAGTTTTTAAAACTTTTTAGCCATACCTATACATCTTGGGTCCAAAACTTGATATAAGTGAAGTGAACAAAGTAATTGATATTTCTATTTGGAAATAGACAATACTTATGATGACTCTTCTTTAATGTGCAAATACAGGTATATAAAGACATGGTTCAAATGAACAATAGTTTGCAGGTGAGGTGTGCTGATTCTCAAGGAATTTCTCAAGTAAACATTGAAAACAATCTGTGCTATGCCTTTTTGAAGTTTGTCATACATATTGGTGTTTATACCACATGAAGACTTTCAATCTGATTTCTCTCCATTGCATCTTTTATATACATGTAGTGTTGTTTTAAGATGTGTGCTTTTTATGAATAAATAATTACTTATCATGCTTATTTTGGTTGAATGTTCAGTTTGTTTTACGGGATGTCTTATATACCAGTGAGCATTAATTAAGCACCACCTGATTCCAAATCCAATCACTAAAAATAATGACAGACAATGGAATCCTAACTTGTCAGCATGTTGTATTAATGTACTTCTCTGAATGAACTGACCCATGCACTGCACTAGGAATGTCAGAGGATCACAGTGTTGAAAAACCAGACGTCTGATCAGCAGCATGAGAAGACACCTCATAAATTTCTTTCATGATAGGGGTGGATACTATACAGACTGATTACAGAGTCACTGTTGATTTCTAGGTAGACAACAATCAGTTTTCACTGTGTGCTGTGACAGTCTGACAGTTCGTGGTGTGGGCTGGGTTTTCAACATTGTTGAAATGATGTTTTCAGGTAGTGATGATAGTGCCAGGCTTTATGTTTGTCACTTCGCTGCTCTTTTGTTGTTTCCATCCATGAATCTCACCAGTCAGTTTTAGATGTAGCACATACTAGAAAGAGTTGGTAGTGTTTAGGTAATATTCATGTGTGTATCTGTATAAAGAGATTCACACAATAATTACACGACATGAAAAAAGTAAGTATATATAAATAAAGTATATATGCATACCCGCACATGTATATACATATACATGCATACATAAGTGAGTATGGTTTTAGGCCACTTTAAGCAATAATCCATCAATATCATGGCGGGAGACACCAGAAATGGGCTTCACACATTGTACCCAGGTCTTCGGCTTGACAGCCGAACGCTTTAACCACTAGGCTACCCGACCACCTCCCCGCTCCCTGGAACTGTTTACACAGACATTAGACATCAGCTGCAACATACCCAGAGGAACTGTCTACACTGACACAAGGTGTCATCTGTTACCACATACCCAGAGGAACGGTCTACAAAAACATTAGACATCGGCTGCCACGTACCCAGAGGAACTGTCTTCACAAACATTAGACATCGGCTGCCACATACCCAGAGGAACTGTCTACACAGACACAAGGTGTCATCTGTTACCACATACCCAGAGGAACAGTCTGCACAAACATTAGACATCGGATGCCACGTACCCAGAAGAACTGTCTACACAGACACAAGGTGTCATCTGTTACCACATACCCAGAGGAACTGTCTACACAAACATTAGACATCGGCTGCCACGTGCCCAGAGGAACAGTCTACACAAACATTAGACATCGGCTGCCACGTACCCAGAGGAACTGTCTACACAAACATTAGACATCGGCTGCCACATACCCAGAGGAACTGTCTACACAGACACAAGGTGTCATCTGTTACCACATACCCAGAGGAACAGTCTGCACAAACATTAGACATCGGCTGCCACGTACCCAGAAGAACTGTCTACACAGACACAAGGTGTCATCTGTTACCACATACCCAGAGGAACTGTCTACACAAACATTAGACATCGGCTGCCACGTGCCCAGAGGAACAGTCTACACAAACATTAGACATCGGCTGCCACGTACCCAGAGGAACTGTCTGCAGAAACATTAGACATCGGCTGCCACATACCCAGAGGAACAGTCTACACAGACACAAGGTGACATCTGTTACCACATACCCAGAGGAACAGTCTGCACAAACATTAGACATCGGCTGCCACATACCCAGAGGAACTGTCTACACAAACATTAGACATCGGCTGCCACATACCCAGAGGAACAGTCTACACTAACATTAGACATCGGCTGCCACATACCCAGAAGAACAGTCTACACAAACATTAGACATCGGATGCCACATACCCAGAGGAACTGTCTCCACAGACACAAGGTGTCATCTGTTACCACATACCCAGAGGAACGGTCTGCACAAACATTAGACATCGGCTGCCACATACCCAGAGGAACAGTCTGCACAAACATTAGACATCGGCTGCCACATACCCAGAGGAACAGTCTGCACAAACATTAGACATCAGCTGCCACATACCCAGAGGAACAGTCTATACAGACACAAGGTGTCATCTGTTACCACATACCCAGAGGAACTGTCTACACAAACATTAGACATCGGCTGCCACGTACCCAGAGGAACAGTCTACACAGACACAAGGTGTCATCTGTTACCACATACCCAGAGGAACAGTCTGCACAAACATTAGACATCGGCTGCCACATACCCAGAGGAACTGTCTACACAAACATTAGACATCGGCTGCCACATACCCAGAGGAACAGTCTACACTAACATTAGACATCGGCTGCCACATACCCAGAGGAACAGTCTGCACAGACACAAGGTGTCATCTGTTACCACATACCCAGAGGAACAGTCTACACAAACATTAGACATCAGCTGCCACATACCCAGAGGAACTGTCTACACAGACACAAGGTGTCATCTGTTACCACATACCCAGAGGAACGGTCTACAAAAACATTAGACATCGGCTGCCACGTACCCAGAGGAACTGTCTTCACAAACATTAGACATCGGCTGCCACATACCCAGAGGAACTGTCTACACAGACACAAGGTGTCATCTGTTACCACATACCCAGAGGAACAGTCTGCACAAACATTAGACATCGGATGCCACGTACCCAGAAGAACTGTCTACACAGACACAAGGTGTCATCTGTTACCACATACCCAGAGGAACTGTCTACACAAACATTAGACATCGGCTGCCACGTGCCCAGAGGAACAGTCTACACAAACATTAGACATCGGCTGCCACGTACCCAGAGGAACTGTCTACACAAACATTAGACATCGGCTGCCACATACCCAGAGGAACTGTCTACACAGACACAAGGTGTCATCTGTTACCACATACCCAGAGGAACAGTCTGCACAAACATTAGACATCGGCTGCCACGTACCCAGAAGAACTGTCTACACAGACACAAGGTGTCATCTGTTACCACATACCCAGAGGAACTGTCTACACAAACATTAGACATCGGCTGCCACGTGCCCAGAGGAACAGTCTACACAAACATTAGACATCGGCTGCCACGTACCCAGAGGAACTGTCTGCAGAAACATTAGACATCGGCTGCCACATACCCAGAGGAACAGTCTACACAGACACAAGGTGTCATCTGTTACCACATACCCAGAGGAACAGTCTGCACAAACATTAGACATCGGCTGCCACATACCCAGAGGAACTGTCTACACAAACATTAGACATCGGCTGCCACATACCCAGAGGAACAGTCTACACTAACATTAGACATCGGCTGCCACATACCCAGAAGAACAGTCTACACAAACATTAGACATCGGATGCCACATACCCAGAGGAACTGTCTACACAGACACAAGGTGTCATCTGTTACCACATACCCAGAGGAACGGTCTGCACAAACATTAGACATCGGCTGCCACATACCCAGAGGAACAGTCTGCACAAACATTAGACATCGGCTGCCACATACCCAGAGGAACAGTCTGCACAAACATTAGACATCAGCTGCCACATACCCAGAGGAACAGTCTATACAGACACAAGGTGTCATCTGTTACCACATACCCAGAGGAACGGTCTACACAAACATTAGACATCGGCTGCCACGTACCCAGAGGAACAGTCTACACAAACATTAGACATCGGCTGCCACATACCCAGAGGAACTGTCTACACACTAGACATCGGCTGCCACGTACCCAGAGGAACAGTCTACACAAACATTAGACATCGGCTGCCACATACCCAGAGGAACTGTCTACACACTAGACATCGGCTGCCACGTGCCCAGAAGAACTGTCTACACAAACATTAGACATCGGCTGCCACATACCCAGAGGAACTGTCTACACAAACATTAAACATCGGCTGCCACATACCCAGAGGAACTGTCTACACACTAGACATTGGCTGCCACGTGCCCAGAAGAACTGTCTACACAAACATTAGACATCGGCTGCCACATACCCAGAGGAACTGTCTACACTGACACAAGTTGTCATCAGTTACCACATACCCAGAGGAACAGTCTGCACAAACATTAGACATCGGCTGCCATGTACCCAGAGGAACTGTCTACACACTAGACATCGGCTGCCACGTACCCAGAGGAACAGTCTACACAAACATTAGACATCGGCTGCCACATACCCAGAGGAACTGTCTACACACTAGACATCGGCTGCCACATACCCAGAGGAACAGTCTACACAAACATTAGACATCGGCTGCCACATACCCAGAGGAACTGTCTACACACTAGACATCGGCTGCCACGTGCCCAGAAGAACTGTCTACACAAACATTAGACATCGGCTGCCACATACCCAGAGGAACTGTCTACACAAACATTAAACATCGGCTGCCACATACCCAGAGGAACTGTCTACACACTAGACATCGGCTGCCACGTGCCCAGAAGAACTGTTAAACAAACATTAAACATCGGCTGCCACATACCCAGAGGAACTGTCTACACTGACACAAGTTGTCATCAGTTACCACATACCCAGAGGAACAGTCTGCACAAACATTAGACATCGGCTGCCATGTACCCACAGGAACTGTCTACACAAACATTAGACATTGGCTGCCACGTACCAAGAGGAACTGTCTACACAAACATTAGACATCGGCTGCCACGTACCCAGAGGAACTGTCTACACAAACATTAGACATCGGCTGCCACGTACCCAGAGGAACAGTCTACACAAACATTAGACATCGGCTGCCACGTACCCAGAGGAACTGTCTACACAAACATTAGACATCGGCTGCCACGTACCCACAGGAACTGTCTACACAAACATTAGACATCGGCTGCCACGTACCCAGAGGAACTGTCTACACAAACATTAGACATCGGCTGCCACGTACCCAGAGGAACAGTCTACACAAACATTAGACATCGGCTGCCACGTACCCACAGGAACAGTCTACACAGACACAAGGTGTCATCTGTTACCACATACCCAGAGGAACAGTCTAGACAAACATTAGACATCGGCTGCCACATACCCAGAGGAACAGTCTACACAAA